AGATAACACTTTAAAGTGAAGCTTGGCAAACTTTTTCTGTAAAGGGCCAGACAGTAAATATTTTAGGCTTTGCAGGACAGATGGTGTCTGTCACAACTACTTAATTCTGCCACTGTAGTGTGAAAGCAGCCATCAACAGTATGTGAATGAATGAGTGTGGCGCATGAGCGTGTTCTAATAAAACTTTATTTAAAAAACAGGTTGCTGGCTGGGTTCGGCCCAGGGGCCAGTTTGCCAGCCTCTGCCTTCAAGTGGAAAGAATTCTGTTGTGAATATATGAGAAGATTTTTCTTTCTAGATTTCCTTTTATAACCTTACCATATGATCATCTTTTAAAAATTTAAGAAAAAGATGGACATATAATGTTAAGATGGGCAAAAGTACCGACTTGATGACTCACAGATGGAATACCAGAGGTATCATAAGCACACGAAGAATAAAATATTCACCACTTATGAAATATGAAATGGAACTTTCAAAAAGCTTAAAATACCTAGCGCTTACAGAAGTGTAGTGAGAAAGGCATGCTATTTATTACAGTACCAGTGGGAAGGTAAATTGGCAACACTTTTCTACTCAGAAAATTAATAAGACTCCTGTGTCGTTCAATCGTTCAAAGTCAGAAAACTTCAGAAACTATAAGTAATGAGGGGTGATCACTCCAACCAAATATGAAAATAAAATGTAGAGTTGGAGTCATGAAATTAATGTGGAACATAGGAGACAGACAGAACGACGGAGAAGGAGAAAAGGTTCAGAAATACACCCCAAGGCAAGTGGAAATGTATTATATCTTACAGGTGGCATTTCTAACCAGGGAGAAAAATGTATTTATTGTTTAATAAGCAGTGTTGGGACAACTGGAAAGCCATTTGGGAAAAAAACTGGGTTCCTACCTCACCTCTTCCTCTGAATTAGTTCTATATCAGATTTAAATGAAAAAAAATGTACCCTTAAAAATCGAGTTTTCTTTTAAAGAATAAACTCAGAGGAAGGAAGGCCTTTTGAAGTATGACACAGAAGCCATAAATGATATGACTATGGAATAATATTTTTCTTAAAAAATTTTTTGTCTTACTCAATCAGGTAGAAACATCACTTTGACAACACACTGTGTTGGGGAGGGTGCAGGAAAACACGTTCTCGTACATACTGCTGTACTGAAACCTGGCAATATCTAGCCAAATGAAAATGCACATACCTTCTGATAGCAGTAATTTCACTCCTAAATATTTACTGTATAAATATAAGTGCACATTTAAATGAAATAGATACAAGGTCACTATATATTTCAATGCTGCTTGTAACAGCAAAAGATTGGAAACAAAAAAATTCAATGTCTGCCAACAGGGGACTTGTTAAAAATAATGTTGCATATGTTACATATATTCATACAAGGGAAAACTCTGAAAATTATGCAACTGTATGAAGAATGGCAATGTTCTTTCCTTATTGGTATGGAAATATTGCAATATATTTGTTAAGTGAAAAAGGCACAGTGGAAAATGGTGTCCGTACCATGCTAAAATGTTATGAGGGAGAAAAAAATGTGTACATATAAATGTGTGGGTGGTTTCTGGAAGGATATATGAAAAACCTGTAAAAGAGGACATATCTGGAGAGGAGAGACATGTGGCTAGGTGGAGGAAAGGGAAATAAATTTAATTTTCATTCTATACCCTTCTATAATTTCTTTGAATTTAAAATAAAGCAACACTTACTTAATTAAAAATTTTGTTATTTATTTTTAAAAAATTTTTGGGAGGATAATTAGGTTTTTATTTATTTATTTATTTTAATGGAGGTACTGGGGATTGAGGTACCAGGACCTCATGAATGCTAAGCACATGCTCTACCACTGAGCTATACCCTCCTCTCCCCACCACCCCACACTACCTATTTAAAATTTAGATTTTCTAATAATATTTAATGATCTGGGGAAAGATTTTTCTCAGCAGCATCTCCCATTTTTCCACTTGAATGGATAAGAACAATCTAAAATTTAATGTGTCCAAATCTGCACTCTAGACTCTGCCCAGAATCCGCTCCATCTGCCACTTGCCTCACATCACTTAATGGTGACTCTATTCCTGTAGTTGTTCATGTTGAAAATTGTGGAGTTATCACTGGCTTCTCTGTCTCACATCCTACACCCAACTCTGGCCACACTTGCGTCCTCGCTCTTCCTGGAAAATCCCAAGCTACATCCAGTCCCTGCGCCATTGTACTGGCTGTGTGGTCCCTCCTGGGGGGCTCCTCCCACAACCAGCATATGCTTCACCCCTCTTCTTACCCAGGTCTCTGTCCATAAATCACCTCACTGAGAAGAAAGCAGCCCTCCAACCAGCACTCCTGACCCACTTCTGCTTTGCTTAGAAAAAATTACAGGGTTTCCATGACCTTTTATCACAATATAGAATTTATTTACTTTTATATTTATTGTCTTTTATCACTTGACTAAGCTTCATGGGGGCATTAATTTTTGTCTGTGTTGTTCATTGATGTTTCTCTAGTGACAATATAAGCCCACAAAAACTGTTTGCTGAATGAATTACTATAATAAAAAGTTTACAGAGCACAATATAAAAGTTCACTTGTAACTAGAGTTTTTATAAAAATGTATTTAAAATGTTTAAAGTTTTTTTTAAAAGATGTTACATTATGGGCATTTGGATATCTTGCAATATTTTTTCTTCCTGTTGCCCATGGAAGAATATTCTGTCATTGATGGTTTGGCTTCTTCTCCTCCCCCATCTTCTGGGGGAAGGAATGTATGTGCTAGCTCAGATTCTTCCAGGGAGAACTGGGGAAATGGGTAGAAAGAAAAGATGAACTGCAAGAAGTGAAATAAGTTTGATTAACTTAATATTGGGAATGGAAGCAGAGTCCCCCAGAGGAAGAAGAGAAACTTGAAAAAGGCAAGTGAAGGGCTAAGGAACTTTGGGGACATCGCAGGGGGTGGGAGTGACAAGAGGATGGAATTGGGCCAGAAAATTCTAAGAATTGTTTCTATAGAATATAAATAGATTCCCTTTGATTTTCTTTAAGAATCTGCAGTGAAGATCTCAATTGTGTTTGATTACTTGCCGGGACTGGACCACATGGATTCCTGCCCTTTTTAGTGGGTGAGAAATAGGTGGCAATATTACAAATGGTTTGTTTAGGGTGGTGGCTTTGTGTTATTTTAATTTTTTCTTTATATTTGTCTGTTCTTTTCATATTTTTCCATTATAAATAGATTGCTTTTGTAATAAAGAACATGCTTTAACATTTTTCTTTACCCTCCATCCCTTAAAGAGTCTCAGTGTAGCAGTCAGTAGCTTGCCGGAGGCACCTGTCCTTGGCCTGCCTATTTTAGGCAGCCTCCAGGGCCAGGAAAGGGACCCTGCCTTGCAGCAGCCAAGGTCTTCCCCTGACCATTGCTCGGACCCTCTTGGCTCTGACTCTCACACGACTCTCTCTCTGGCTGGCTCTGTTCTGGGCTTGCCTTAGCTTCCCAGGACCCTCAGCTATTGGCTGCTTTGCATGGGGCCCCTTGTCTTAGCGCTAGCCCTTTGGACCAGAAACTATAGCTGATCTACCTTCATCTCTCCTTAAAATGGGGGTTTAGTTAATAGCTGTACCCGTCTGACTCAGGTACATGAAATCTCTTAAAAATTTTTTTTTTGTTTTATAAAACTCCATCATGATGCTCAGTGGGGGCTACTCTTCTAGATCATAGGAGAGGGGGCTTTGGGCTGCCACCTCGAGTCACCAGTTGTTCTAGTTTGCCGAGGACTGAGTGTTCTTGGGACATCAGCCTCTTCAGTGCTAAAACTGTGAAAGTCCCTGGCAAATCAGGATGAGTTGGTCACTGCTGTCATCACAGGCGCCGTCAGCCTTGATCACCGCTGTCTTAGTCAACTTCTGAGTTTAGCCGTGAGAAGGACCCTCTTCCCGCTGGTACAAGTATGCTCTTGTTACAACAGATGAACAAGATGCCCATTTCTCTCCTCACTTATGGCAGGAGTCAGATTAAAATGCAGGAACTCTCCTACACATTTGCTGATCTAAAGAGAGTGACAAAAGTGTCAGAGCAGGACAAGGGGCTCCATGCCTGCCCACGCCACCAGCAGAGAAACACAGCCAAAGAAAATGTGGCAGAGGGGCTCTGAAGGGTCTTCTGCTCAGATGCCGTTCCTGGTACAAGCCACACAGGACTCCCCTGGGGTCTGCAAATAAGAGCTGTATCTCTACAAAC